TAGGAATCTTAAAATTCAGATTCTGATTCAGTAGAATTGGTGTAGGACTTGGAATACAGCATTCCTAACAAGTTTCCAGATGATAGTAATGCTGTTGCTCCTACTCAAAGTGTTACTCAAATCATGGTTAGAGGTTTCTATGGCAGTTTGACATTGATCAGTGGACTTGTCTCAAATAGGGTACTAAGTCTTTGCAATTTTCCCTGTTATGTTTGCTTTGAAATGTAATTTTACATTTTGAATCAAACACATTAGACTTTTTATTTTGTATATCTTTTTCTCCATTTCAATTTTAAAGAAATTTATTCCTATTTTGTTTTATACTAGTATCAGTCTGTGATGGATGGAGAAAAAAAAAATTGGTCCTTCACCACGGATAGTTTGAGAAACACTGCTCTAGACAGCAAAGAACTTTTTTTAAGTTTTTATTTAAATTCCAGTTATTTAACATACAGTGTAATATTAGTTTCAGGTGTACAATACAGTGATTCAATACTTCCATACATCACCCAGTGTTCATCACAAGTGTGCTCCTTAATCCCCATCACCTATTTAACCCATCTCCCCACCCACCTAACCTCTGGTAACCATCAGTTTGTTCTCTATAGTTAAGAGTCCGTTTCTTGGTTTGCCTCTCTCTCTTTTCCCCCTTTGTTCATTTGTTTTGTTTCTTAAATTCCACATATGAGTGAAATCATATGGTATATGTCTTTGATGGACTTAACTTAGCATAATACTCTCTAGCTCCATCAATTTCTAGGCAATGAAGAACTTTTTATTTGGGACATAGAATTTATTTAGAAATGGTTTGATTTCTATTACATACGATTCCAAAGCAGTATTTTTTAAACTTTTCTTTTTATTTATTCCATAAACAATAACAAAACTCAGCTAGGTACATTATGACAGTTTCACCATACACTCAGTCACAAATATTTAAAACCTTTTCAACAAGAACAACAAAACCAGAGGTGTTACAAGAATAATTTACAAGAAAATCTATAAAACAGCAAGAAGCTCACAAATGTTCATTTTCATTTGCACAAGATCACTACACTCTTTCACAACATGTTTTGTGTTACAAAATTCCCAACAAAAGTGTATTTTTTCTTTGTATTATGGTTTCTAAAACCAGAAACTTTGAAGTAAATATCCTTTTATTAGCACCCAGTGGTGCAGAAAAAGGAAAACTCTCACATACAGACACTTCACAGCACTTTTCTAAGAAAAATATACACTTACAAAATATGTTACAAATTGGCACACTTAAAAATATACAAGATTTTGTAGGCGTCTTAAGAGTGATCCTTAAGCTTTATACCTCAATTGACTCTACAGATTATTTATAAAGCTTAACTCTGAAAGAAAAAAAGGCAAACAATTTCCTAACATCTTAAAGTTGCAGTGTCATATGTCAAACAAAAACTTAGGTTACATTCATAAAAAGGGCCTCTAACATGTTTATTTTAAATTTTCTTAAATGTTTAAAGGGCTTGGGAGAGGAGAAAATGGAGACAATAGTTTCTTTAGCACCATAAATCAGTAATTTACTAAAGAGGTGCATTCAGTTTTATGGAAATTAAATTAAGGACTAGTACATTCAAAACTCTGTAGGCAGCAAACTCTAGTCAGTGCTACAGGTATCCCAGTAGAGCATTTTAAGCTTTCTACCCTCCTCACTGGGAGTAAAAAACAAAAGGCCTCTTCCAGTTTTCATTCTAAGCCTTTCCTTTTGTACTATAAAACCAGGTTTCTCTGAAAGAGGCAGAATGATTTAAACATCTTTCTTCCTTTTGAAGGGGATGTCGAACACTCAGAAACCACTGAGCCTGACAGATGGATAGACATTCTTTCCATTTTATATTGAGTGTTTCTTTTTTATTTACCTAGATACTGATTTTTAAAGCCTCATTCACACCGTAAGCTTTGTACTAAGCCTCTTTCTTTTACATTGTCCTTCTCCAATGTTTCATCTCTTAGTTATGATTCTGAAACCAAGAGTACATCTCAAGTATCACATAGCTGCAATGGGAACTCTGTTTCATGAATGTAGCTACTGTTTAATGCTCTGAGTAAAATGTACCTTACAGGGTAGCCTGTGTACTGCCATCAAAATAATCCCATGCTGGCTGAGGACCTTCAAGTTGATGACAGTGTTTCCCAAGTTAAACAGTCCAGCTAAAATTGTTTCTTCTTTATTTGGGTCCTTGAGAAACTTACAAAAATTCCTGGCCTACATTGTGTTGACAAGATACTTATTTATCCCTAGTTACTAAAGTGTTTTAGTAAAGTGTTTCTAAACATAATGGTGGGCTTCATGAATTTTATGATTAGAAAGTAAATCTCATATTAGTTTTATTTCATAAAAAGGACATATTCCTATAATAAGCAATCATTGAAAAATCATAAATAAAAAAAATCACCTGTAATTAGATAACTTCTTAAAAATCCAGGAGAAAACAAACACAGTTATAGCACTAGTTAGGACTAGCTAGTGCTCCATTCTCCTCTTTGGGGAAGAAACTCAGCTCTCTTCAATTCTTGGAACTGTTCTGAGAGCATCTGTAAATTGAAGATATGGCAGATCTGCATCAGACTGACTCAGCTTGGTAAGAGCAAGCTTGGTTAAGAGGTCCTTGGATGTGGTCTTTCTCCTTTATGGAGTAAATGCTCATCAGGACCCAGTAAAACAGAAATTCACTAGAACTGCGAAACCTCACATAACAGGACATAGGGTGCTATCCAGAGCTGTTTACAGCTTTTGAAGCATCCTTTATGCTTCTCTCTCTTACACACATGCTTAATCCCCTCCCTTCCCCTCCCTCCCCCCTGCACACATACAGATGCTTCTCAGCAAGGAAAAAGGTCAGAGAAGGTGAAAGTTGTCACAAAAGCCCACCTAGCACCAAAGACTTCAGGGAGATGGCTAAAGAAGTGATGATCAAGGTAGTGCAGGAGGTTTGAAAAGATTTAGGATAAGGTAAGGCCTTAACACATAATTGCACAGAATAACAAGAAGTCAGAAGAGAAAGCTGAGAGGAAGCAGCATATGTGAGGAAGCTGGTATATGAGACGCTGGAGAGGCCACTGGTTTAAGCAAGTTATCACAGCCCAAACATAACCCCCAAAGTCTCGAAGAATCTTGGTCAAGGCTACTGTTTCAGCACCCTGCTCCACATAGTCTAGCACCTAACCAGGACTGAAAGGGGATCAGAGAGATTTTTACCTTCAAGGAAAAGGCGTTTCCAACTTTCCTCAGTCATGTGATATAATTCTGTGTGTGTGTGTGTGTGTGTGTGTGTGTGTATTTAAAATAAGATTTGAAAGTGGTCAAGACAATTAAAGGTATTAAGATTGAGAAGATTGCCCTCTGAAATTCCAGAAGTAGCCTGGCTAAGGTTCTTAAACTCTGACACTTTCGGTAGGTGGAATATAAGATTATAAAATAAGAAAAATTCTAAGACCAAGGACTGAAATTAGATAGAAAGAATAATGGAGAACACCATTTCCAGGAAAGTAAAGATTAAATGGGATTATGTTGAGGAGGCAGTAATAAGAATCAGAGAGGAGAGTCTAGAAGGAAGTGACAATCAGGAATTTCAGACCAAGGAAAATTTCATACATCTGACTTGAATTATCAGTGACAGGGCAAGACACTATTTTTGTATCAGTGGTCCTCACTCCACTAAGGCAGATGGTCGAATAAAGGATCTCCAAAATTCAGGCCTACTATGTTGTGACAGGAAGAAAAAAAAATTGTGAGCAGTGACAGGACCAAAAAAGCCACAAAAACTGAAGAGCTCAGCACATAATGTACTGAGAGGATATTAAGTGAAATTAAGAGAATAAGCATCTTCTGCTTTGTCCTATTGCTCATTAATAAAACTGAGTTTCTTGTTATGTGTTAGTACAAAATGATTGATTACAAGTCACTAATATATGTGTTAAAAACATATAATGCACTGTAGGCCATTAAAAATGGTACTTTAAAATGTCAGTTCTCTTCAGTCAGTAAAAACGGTACTTTAAAATGTCAATTCTCTTCGGAGAAAGGGATGAACCATGCCCTAGAATTGGCCCCTAATGGGCTCCATAGGAGCAACTAAAAGAGTATCCATTCCAAAGGACTCATAATAGCAAGTTATGACAAGGAAACTCTTTCCAAAATTTCAGGCTGTCCTTCTATCCCACCCCTACCCCATTTTCCAAAGCTGAACTGATACTGAGAAAAACTGGGACAACTGTTCCCATATTTATTTTATAAACACATTGTACCCATGGAACATTTTATTTATTTCTTCTTTAATTGCCACCTTTTGGTTACATAGAGAGCACTCCATTCCTGTAAGTGATTTTGAGGTCTGGAGTCTTGGGGATCATAATACAGATAGAGATTCCAAACCAAAATTTAGCGGCAAAGCAGAACAAACAAAAACAAAAACAAAACAAAAACTAGTTCCTAAGAACCAGCCATAGCATTAAGTATAAACAGCTAGCTATCAGAGTGGAGAAATAGAAGAAAGTGTTCCAGTTTGATTATTTTCCCTTCTGGATGGCAGCTGTAGAGTAGGAGACATGTTTCATCTGGTGCCTTTCCACTAAGTAATTGTCTAAGACTCACTGCACACAGAGCATCAAAACCTAGGAACAGGCCTGAAGCAGCCTCACAAAATGCTCCTCACCCACTCATCCCCATAGACACACACAATCACACCATCAAGAACACAGGCTTGTTCATTTTACTACCTAGCTATAAGTAGTAGAGCAGGCTGGTGAAAGGAATCAAGGACTGGGAAGTGTGTATACTTATATATGTGACAGGCTTCCTTCCATTTCTCTCTGACTACTTTCAAATGTTGCTTCTCTGTGAATATATTTAGGTGGCAATGACTAGGTAGGTTTATATTTTGCTTAAATGTTTCCTTTTGAAACATCTTCGTTTTTTTTTTTTAATCTCCCTTTCCCCCACCCACTTATTCTCCACCCTCCCACCCACAGCCTATATATTCACAAGTTAATAGGTTAGTAACAGTATTAGTAAGAATAGTAAGAGTAACAACAACAACAACCAACAACATTAATAATATTAATCCCCTATATCTGTATAGCACTTTACGATCTACAAAGCGCTTTTACATCCATTATCTCATCTGTGCCATAATGCATCAGTCATCAGACACATAGTCCTTCAACTGTGCAAGGAAAATAGATCAAATGTTAGAAGTCAAGCGGTGAATAAAGGGGAATAAAAAGCTAGTCGTGAGAGATGTTGGGGCTGTGAAATTAAAGACAAAAGGGGGAAGGGCTAAATAAAAATGTGATTTCAAAAATTTATATAAAAAATTGAAATTTAAGTTTAGTGTTTGGCATCAAATACTAGTCCCCCCTCAGACTCAGTATATATGGCCCTGATTAGTTGTTACCACAAATTGCTCAGCTTATCTAATATATGTACGTAACTCATAGGAGTTGAACTGAGATGCCTTAACATTTTCTTTAAATGACATTGGCATTGCAAGATTAAACACTTAAAGAACACTAAAGCCTTGATATGAGTGCACATTTATGAACATTTATGAAAGTACTTAAATAAAAGCAATCTATGTACTTCATTTATCATTAGTGTTGATTTTATAGCTATTTTATAATTTATCCCAGACTATTATAAAATATATAAAACTGAGATATAAAGTATCAGCAATATAACTTTGCACTTTAAATAATTTTCAGCTACAGATTTTGCTTTTAGAAAACAAACTTTAAAGCAGCTGTTTTGTTTCCTTGTAAAAGGTTCTGTGAATGCATATATTAGGTCCCTGATGGACTTAGCTGTTATGACTTCCAGACTTTTCCAACAATTTAACCATTAGACGATGGAACAAACAAAACTTTATTGTGCCTTATTTAATTGCTTATGTTTCCACACAGGACAGTAGAGTTTAAAATTTCAAAATAATGTATGTGCATATATATGTGTGTGTGTGTGTGTGTGTGTGTGTACACACACACACACACACACACACACATATTTAAATTCATTAATGAGATTTAAACTGTGGGGTGAATCTGTGAGATGAGGTAAGAAAATTTGGCACATTTCAAACAGTATCCTTTAAGTTTTGGTAAATTGTGTAACACAACATTTTTTCCACTGTGATCTATAGGTGCTATCCACATAAGTGGGGGTGGTTAATAGCAAGAATCACTGGAATGTTTCTAGTAAATCAAGAGGGACAAGCTCCCCAAATACAAACAAATGTTGATATAGAAGTAAAAATATATACAATACAGTCACTTGTTTGTAGTTTGGCACAATGTTTTCCTTTTTTCTCCCTTGGGTAAATAGTGCATAAACTACTTGTGCAACTGTATGACTTTTTGAAGTCTTTTACATAGAACATCAGATTAAAGTTTGCTTCCAAATACTTATTCCCACACTTCAAAAATCTCTTCTTTAAGCACTTACATGTCAACATACATACCACAAGGCATATTTTGAAAGAAATAAAACACAAACATCAAATGTCTTTCTGGAAAATGTGAGTTTCTTCTTCAAACACAGGTAAAACCCAAAATGCTGTTTCTGCTTTTAGGAGATTGTAGTCGGAATCCCTGCAGAAAAACCAAACAATTTATGCCACCTTAGTTAGCTTTAGTGTATGTCCCACAAAGGGATCATACCATCTAAATTTGTTTACATCATACTAAATGCTGTATAATGCAGAGATAGATAGATACAAATAGCAGGGGGCACTAGAAAGCACTCCTAATTGCCACACAATGAGACTGTTTTTTCCCCCCAAATTATGCTCTTTTTGCTTAAATGATCTTGACCTTTTGTCTATATGCCTTTTTGATTCTGTTGTTCAAAACTTTTTTTTTTTTTTTTACTGCAAAGCCCTTCCCTTCCCAAAATCACTCAAGAGCATATTTTAGTTCTATTTTCTCAATTAGTAAAAACCAATGCAGAATAGCAGAAAAAGTAGACTTGTTAGAGTTTATCCCTAGCTAAGCCACAACAAAATTGCCCAATCTTTTGTGTGGCTTAAAGGTATAGGGATTTTCATGCACTTTTTTCTTTTTAATTTGAAAAAGAAGGGAATGTGACAGTTTCTTTCATGCAAACTTTTGCTTTCAAGAGGGAAAAAATGAGGGACTGTGGGCTTAGCAGGTTGTAGGAAAGCTAAGGGTACATCATCTCAGCCATTTTGGTGTAGTATTACCTCAGTTTTTCAAAAGAAGCTGTCCCAGCCTCATCCTTGTGGACCTGTTCTCGCTCCACGCACTTTCCCTTACACTTCTCATCTCTCAGGGCCTTGGAGCTGGATTTGTGACGATATAACTTTTTGTGTGTTGGTCCATTATTGCCTAAAGTGCTCAGGTTATTACACTTTTTATCATAGAAGGCAGAGCGAGAGTCCTCATAACCATGCATGTTTGCACGACCAGGATCACCTATTGTTGCTTTCCCATTGCTTTTACTCACACCCTTGATGGACCTGTGATTCTTAGTGCCTCCTGGGGACCCACTGTTGACCTTTTTCTTAGATTCCTGTGGTGTCCCAGCCAATATTTTAAGGGTTTTTAATTTTAGACTATTGGACTCAGGGGAGTAGAATATGTTGGGGTCTCCATGGTGTTCCATGGGTTCCCAAAGGGGCTCTATGGAGGCCATCATGAACCTCTGTACATCTGCCATACCAGAGGCAATGTTAGACAAGATATAGGAAGGCTCTTGAAATTCCCGTTGGTCATCATCAAGGAGGCTATTGGTGTTCGTGCTCATGTTCATGTCGCTCCATCCTGGGTTACTCTCCTTCCCCAGAGCCCAATCTCCAGAAAGTCCCTTTTGAGTTGGCATCTTCATAGAGGCCACAGGGCCACCGTGTTGGATACATTCGGTCAATGTCTTTCCTGTGGAGGATATGTTGTTGATTTGGCCTCCTCCACGGCCAATGCCAACTTGCATTTTCTCTCCATTGATTGCAGCCGTGTATTTCCCTTTCTTTGTTGACTTAGGGGCCTGGCGGGAGGTTTTTCCAGGTGGCTTTTCAATTCCTTTGTTGTTGGCTTTGAGAGATTTTTTCCTGGTGTTTTTCTGAGAAGAGCTTTGGTTCAGAGCCCCACTCTTGCTGGGTGAACTTTTCTTTCTTGATTTTGACACTTTGTTGTTAGTACTCATTTGACCAGATGGATCATTAAATGCTGATAAGCAAGGGGTTTTTTGGAGAAGACTGACAGAATCCTCATCATTGAACATATGGAACTGAAACTGATGGTTATTTAAAGTAAATCCATCATCCACTTGGACCTGCCGTGAAAGGGTACTGCAGTCCCACTTGATTTTCTCCATGTTGCCCAATGGTCCTGGGACACCCTCTTGAAACCCCTTCAGTGTTCCTAGTGTCTTAATACTCTCACATCTGGTAATTTGAGGGGAAAGACTGGGGGTGTCAGGTGGGGACACTTCTGAGAGAGAAGAGTGGCGGAATTTGTCAGGAGTGAAGTTGGAGATATCCAGGAGGTCAGTGGACTCCTTTAATGGTGTTATCTCATCAATGCTCTGCTGGATAACCAGCTTGGGGCTGCAATGGGCCAGGAAGTCATCAGTAATATCATCATCACCATCCTTTTCACAGGACTTCAAGCTTAAGGAACAATAATTGCTTGAGTTGACAGAGAGTTGGGCCATTGAATCAAAGCTAAAGAGCCGATCATCATCCATATTGGCTGGGCCCTGCTGGAAAGGAAAGCATATCTCTCCATTATTAAAGTGACATAATTGATAAGAGTCATCAGATGGGAGCTGAGTGTCTTGTACAGAGGCATATAGGACCTTGTTGCAATTACTGCCACCACTACTGAGGCAGATTCGATTGTATGTTGTAGATGTGAGGTTATTTTCCATGGAGACTACTTGGGAGACTCCAAATTCATTAGATTGTGTTGGAGCTATCTCCCTTGAGACTTCAGCCATGAATTCCTGGGGGCCAGAAGTAGGTTTGTTGGGCCACACATTTCCATAGTTGTTTGATTCCATTTTGAAGTTTTGGGATGACTGCTGTAGCTCAGACTCAGAGGGTGAGGAAAGCACACAGTCCTGGGCAGGCTGAAGAGGCACAAATGATTTTTCTGTTTGAGTGAGGCTGCTTTCATTTTGCTCTGGAGAATGGTGAGCAAAGTATGATATACCAGTATTATTTGACAAGTCAGAAGCATCTAACAATGTCTGCAGATACCCTCCAGGGATAACAGGTATACTGGTGGCAACATTAGCAGATGATAGAGGCATTTCAGAAGAGCAGGTGGTTGGTAAGAAAGTAGAATTCTTGGCAACCTTTGCCTCATGAAATTCAGATAGATGAGAACTGTTTGAAGTCCCAGGAATAGCTTCATTCTTTAAATTAGGTGTAGATGATTGATCTTCCAAAAGAGGGCTCATTTGAACAACTGACTTGCTTTCTTGACCAGCTTTGATTTTCTTGGATTTTAACCTGGCTTCACTTTTAAATTTGATTTTGTTGAGCACTTTCCTCTCTGGCCCCTTAAATCCTGCATCTTGGGCTTTGACTTTCACTGAGTCAGGGCCTGTAATGTCATTTAGATGTGATCCATTTGCACAGCTGGGGACAGCCAGAGGTGCTGACTTTAGTGTACCTTTCATGGCTCCATCTTCTTTACGAGTACAAGCTTGCCTCTGATCACTGCAGAATGAAATTTGCTTACCACTTGCTGAAGTTTCCACAGATGGGATTCTTTGAATCCTGTGCCTGTTGCCAAGTTTAGATTTTCGTTTGCGAGCAGGTGGCAGGAATGACACCTCAAAGCTACCTGGTTCAAAGTTTTGTTTTTGGCATAAGGGTGTCTTGTTGGAGTCAATGTTGCTATTTCTCTGTTTTTTCTTCTTTTGCCAGAAGCCCTTCAAGGGGGCAAGCTTGGCATATTTGTTGAGCTGATTTTCACTCAAATTCACTGTTGTCTCACTGGAATCTACCCTACCCAACTTCACCAGCATGTTCTTCTCACCTTTAAAGCGATTGATGATGATATATTTGATAATAACAGGGGGCTCCTTACGGGTTACTTTTCTTCTCTTTTTGGGACACCATTCATCATCATCTTCCTCTTTGGAACCACCTGGCAACCATTCCTTCCTCTCATTTACTTTTTCACCCTCTAGTGAGTCAACGTCATATAGATAATCTTCACTATACCTGACTTTTCTCTTGGCTCGTAGACCATAGTTCTGCTGGGAGGAGGAGTTGCCAGAATTAGTGTCCCGAGCCATATAGCGGCTACAGTCCTTGATCTCCCCCATGGCATCATAAGAGACCTCAATTAAGGAACTGTCATCACTGAAATTCCCTGATGCCTCCAAGGAATTAGCAAGATGACCCTGCTTTGGATTCTTAAATTGCCCTACTTCAGTCCCACTGCATGGTTTATTTAAGGCAAATTTTTCTCCATTATCCTTTTCATCTTTTTTCTCTACACCCTTGTCTTCCTGTCCCTCTTCTTTGCCTTTCTTCTTGTCCAAGTTTTTATCCTCCTCCCCCCAGATGATGTTCACATCAGGAACCTTGAATTGGGAAAGATCGCTGTTCTGCTTCAAAACCCCACTCTTAGACTCCCGTTTGGGGCAAGTAGTAAAGACACTGGGAAAAAAGTTGAATTGGGCATCCTCCTGCATTAGAAGGGTGGTCTTGTCTCGAACATTGTCCTGGAAGGACTCATATCGAATTTTCAAGGAACAGACATCACTGCCCAGTGTTGACTCATCATCATCGAACATGTAGTTATCCACATCTTCTTCTGAGAATAAGTTGACGGACAGCTCATTTTTGGAACAGAGGTCAAGCAGTTCAATCTTACTCTCACTAATGAAAGTCTCAAAGTAACCCCAATCTTGATTGGAATTTGCCAGCAAAGCCTCTTCTGTATTACACTTGTCTAACAGTAATGCCTCATAATAACTTTTCTGAGCTGGATCCTCCAAGTCGATGTCAGATTTCTCAGCTTCTCGTTTTTCCCCTGCCCTTGATTTGTGCAGGGGGAAGCCTAGGAGCTGGTCTGAAAGCAGCTGCTCTCCATATTTCATGCTTTCTCCAGCATTAATACACTGAATCCCTATATCAGAGACTGCACAGGTTTCATAATCCTTATTTAGATCACCAACTTTCAGACTGATCCCTGGCTCAGGATCTACTGCATCCTTTGATTCCATGAAGCAGCCCAAACAAGTCCGACTTGGCTGCATGAGGCAGTCCCCATTCAGAGCTGACATGCCTGCAGGCTCCATTATGGCAAATGGAGCTTTCTCACATTCACTGGGCAGTGACCATGTATGCAGGCCTTTTGTAACACCAGATGTAAGGGAGATGGCATTCACAGAAGCACTATTAGCAGCATGCTCAGGTGCTTCAATTAGGCCCAAAGGAGATGGGGGGCTCTGCATACAGGATTTCTTAGAAGGCAGAGGCAGGAGACCCCTGGGATACATTAGGGTCTCTTTTTGAACCACTGGTATAGGCTGGATTGGTGCAGCAGCTTCTAGAGCTGCAAATGACTTCATTGCCACATCTTGGTCCTCTGAATCTGGAGAAAAGGGAAAGAAATGACAGAAATAAAGTTAAAGGTCTTAGACCACTACTCATTAGACCACTCTTTCCCTAGATCAGTTTCTGGTACTTGATCTTATATAAACTAAGGTTCAGCTTCTCTAGCTTTAGAACTAGAAACTACAAAGTTAAAGAACAACGCTGATTTTATATTGAACATTCATGAAAGTGAAAAATAGTATTTCTTTAGATTCAGCTTTTTCTTTAGACACAGAGCTCTCTCCTCAGAAACTGGGAAATAATTGGACTGCTTGATCAATTGGAAAGTTAAGGATTCCAGGGTGGGAAAATGCTCAGATGGGATATTTATGGTTTCAATCTATAAAGCTTAGTCCTATCAATCAGACCTCTGTTCTAGCAGCTCCTCTGAATCTAGATGTTCCAAGCCTAATTCACTAGGAATTTTGAGGAACGTATTCATCTGACAGAGATGATTTGCAAGAGCACAGTGGTTGGATTAAATAGCTCTTGGAGACTCTTCTAGCCCAGTTAGAAATCTGGTGGAATAAAATTTAGGATTAATATCAATCTCAAAGGCACCCTAGACTTAACCTACTCCAATTTTGTAGATACTAAAAATCTATTTGGTGTAGTAACACCAAAGGACCACTAGGAGAGGTGGTATATACTATAATTAAATTCTCTTACCATTTTCTTTGACCCCATTAATCAGAGTGTTTTCTCCATTGGCTGAGGCAACAACAGCCTTATCTTGTTGGTTATCCATGAATGTAACCTCTTATTTTTTCATTCCAAGTCCAAATGCTGTCCAACCTGCACATTTCAAATATATAATGTTAGTCATTAAATATATTTTTTCTCTGTTTTAAGGTTATTTCAGCTAGAGAGATCTTAAAAGGCTCACTGTAATTTATCTGTTTCCAGACTGGCTTCATCACCACTGTTGTTTTTTGTTTCATAGTTTATACCCTAGATCCTTCTATCCCCTGTAGGCCACCATACTATTTATAATAGAAATCTGAAGCAGGCAGACTTATGCCTTCTTCCAGATAGGAATATATTTAACCTAATCATGGCCATACAGTTAGAAAGGATGCAAAGTAGAGTCCAGAGAAACATGAGAGAAGGAATGTATGCATATAAAGTTTGGCTTTATTTTTGTTTGCCTCATTTCAACCTCAGAAGATCTAAAGCTCTTCAAAAACAAGGCAATTCATACATACACACACATATATATCACACTCAGATTTTCTCTCTCTCTGCCTTAAAATTAACTGCTAAGGATGGAAAAAGGTAAAGAATTCTTTTCTTGGTTTCTCAACTTTCATGATCTTAACTCTGTTAATGACAAATATTCCTCAAAGCCCAGCAGGATTTTAAAATGTTACTACAAAGAAGAGCTTAAATTTCTGAAAACTCCCTACATCATCTATTTTAGGGCATAGAATACATATCTATAGTCCCTATCTCCTGCCCGCCTACTTGGGTGGTAGGTATATGCAAAACAGTAGAAGACAAGGCCATCTGAGATGGAGTTATCTACCATATGCTATCAGAAAATCTATAAATCCTTTTTTCACAACCCCCCTTTTCCTAGACCTTCTTCTCAGCCAAGTATCCATCCCTTTATTAAAAAGCACAGACTGAGAAAATCGGGGAAGATGGCGGCAGGGGGGACGCTGGGCTCACCGCACGTCCTGCTGATCACTTAGATTCCACCTACACCTGCCTAAATAACCCAGAAAACTGCCAGAGGATTAGCAGAACGGAGTCGCCGGAGCCAAGCACAGACGAGAGGCCCACGGAAGAGGGTAGGAAGGGCGGCGAGGTGGTGAGCGCTCCACGGACTGGCGGGAGGGAGCTGGGGCAGAGGGGCGGCTCGCCAGCCAAGCAGAGCCCCCGAGTCTAGCTTGCAAAAAGCGGAGGGGCCTGACAGACTGTGTTCCAACAGCAAGCACGACTTAGCGTCTGGGAGGTCATAAGTTAACATCTCTGCTCAGAAAGCGGGAAGGCTGGAGGACAAAGGGAAGGAGAGCTGCTGAGCCCCCTGAAAACAGAGCTCAGTTTGGTGGGGAACAAAGGCGCTCACCGGCGCCATCTCCCCACCAATCCCCCAGCCAAAATCCCAAAGAGAACCAGTTCCTGCCAGGGAACTTGCTCGCTCCGCTCAAACACCCAACTCTGCGCTTCTGCAGAGCCAAAACTCTGGCAGCGGATCTGACTCCCTCCTGCTGCCACAGGGCCCCTCCTGAAGTGGATCACCTAAGGAGAAGCAAGCTAAGCCTGCCCCTCCTGCCCCTGTGCAACTTGCCTACCCACCCCAGCTAAGACGCCAGATCCCCAGCATCACAAGCCTGGCAGTGTGCAAGTAGCCCAGACAGGCCACCCCACCCCACAGTGAATCCCGCCCCTAGGAGAGGGGAAGAGAAGGCACACACCAGTCTGACTGTGGACACAGCGGTGGGCTGGGGGCAGACATCAGGTCTGACTGCGGCTCCGCCCACCAACTCCAGCTATACACCACAGCACAGGGGAAGTGCCCTGCAGGTCCTCACCATGCCAGGGACTATCCAAAATGACCAAGTGGAAGAATTCCCCTCAGAAGAATCTCCAGGAAATAACAACAGCTAATGAGCTGATCAAAAAGGATTTAAATAATATAACAGAAAGTGAATTTAGAATAATAGTCATAAAATTAATCGCTGGGCTTGAAAACAGTATAGAGGACAGCAGAGAATCTCTTGCTACAGAGATCAAGGGACTAAGGAACAGTCACGAGGAGCTGAAAAACGCTTTAAACGAAATGCATAACAAAATGGAAACCACCACGGCTCGGATTGAAGAGGCAGAGGAGAGAATAGGTGAACTAGAAGATAAAGTTATGGAAAAAGGAAGCTGAGAAAAAGAGAGATAAAAAAATCCAGGAGTATGAGGGGAAAATTAGAGAACTAAGGGATACACTAAAATGAAATAATATATGCATAATTGGTATCCCAGAGGAGGAAGAGAGAGGGAAAGGTGCTGAAGGGGTACTTGAAGAAATAATAGCTGAGAACTTCCCTGAAGTGGGGAAGGAAAAAGGCATTGAAATCCAAGAGGCACAGAGAACTCCCTTCAGACGTAACTTGAATCGATCTTCTGCACGACATATCATAGTGAAACTGGCAAAATACAAGGATAAAGAGAAAATTCTGAAGGCAGCAAACGTGCCCACGTGTAAACGTGCCCTCACATATAAAGGGAGACCTATAAGGCTCGTGACTGATCTCTCTTTTGAAACTTGGCAGGCCAGAAAGAATTGGCACGAGATTTTCAGTGTGCTAGACAGAAAAAATATGCAGCCGAGAATCCTTTATCCAGCAAGCCTGTCATTTAGAATAGAAGGAGAGATAAAGGTCTTCCCAAACAAACAAAAACTGAAGGAATTTGTCACCACTAAACCAGCCCTACAAGAGATCCTAAGGGGGACCCTGTGAGACAAAGTACCAGAGACATCACTACAAGCATAAAACATACAGACATCACAATGACTCCAAACTCATACCTTTCTATAATAACACTGAATGTAAATGGATTAAATGCGCCAACCAAAAGACATAGGGTATCAGAATGGATAAAAAAACAAGACCGATCTCTTTGCTGTCCAGAAGAGACTCATTTTAGACCTGAGGACACCTTTAGATTGAGAGTGAGGGGATGGAGAACTATTTATCATGCTACTGGAAGCCAAAAGAAAGCTGGAGTAGCCATACTTATATCAGACAAACTAGACTTTAAATGAAAGGCTCTAACAAGAGATGAAGAAGGACATTATATAATAGTGACAGGGTCTATCCATCAGGAAGAGCTAACAATTATAAATGTCTATGCGCCGAATACCGGAGCGCCCAAATATATAAAACAATTACTCATAAACATAAGCAACCTTATTGATAAGAATGTGGTAATTGCAGGGGACTTTAACACCCCACTTACAGAAATGGATAGATCATCTAGACACATGGTCAATAAAGACACAAGGGCCCTGAATGAGACATTGGATCAGATGGACTTGACAGATATATTTACAACTCTGCATCCCAAAGCAACAGAATAGACTTTCTTCTCGAGTGCACATGGAACATTCTCCAAGATAGATCATATACTGGGTCACAAAACAGCCCTTCATAAGTTTACAAGAATTGAAATCATACCATGCATACTTTCAGACCACAATGCTATGAAGCTTGAAATCAACCACAGAAAAAAGTCTGGAAAACCTCCAAAAGCATGGAGGTTAAAGAACACCCTACTAACGAAGGAGTGGGTCAACCAGGCAATTAGAGAAGAAATTAAAAAATATATGGAAACAAATGAAAATGAAAATACAACAATCCAAACGCTTTGGGACGCAGCGAAGGCAGTCCTGAGAGGAAAATACATTGCAATCCAGGCCTATCTCAAGAAACAAGAAAAATCCCAACTACAAAATCTAACAGCACACCTAAAGGAAATAGAAGCAGAACAGCAAAGGCAGCCTAAACCCAGCAGAAGAAGAGAAATAATAAAGATCATAGCAGAAATAAACAATATAGAATCTAAAAAAACTGTAGAGCAGATCAACGAAACCAAGAGTTGGTTTTTTGAAAAAATAAACAAAATTGACAAACCTCTAGCCAGGCTTCTCAAAAAGAAAAGGGAGATGACCCAAATAGATAAACTCATGAATGAAAATGGAATTATTACAACCAATCCCTCAGAGATACAAACAATTATCAGGGGATACTATGAAAAATTATATGCCAACAAATTGGACAACCTGGAAGAAATGGACAAATTCCTGAACACCCACACTCTTCCAAAACTCAATCAGGAGGAAATAGAAAGCTTGAACAGACCCATCACCAGCGAAGAAATTGAATCGGGTATCAAAAATCTCCCAATAAATAAGAGTCCAGGACCAGATGGCTTCCCAGGGGAGTTCTACCAGACGTTTAAAGCAGAGATAATACCTATCCTTCTCAAGCTATTCCAAGAAATAGAAAGGGAAAGAAAACGTCCAGACTCATTCTATGAAGCCAGTATTACTTTGATTCCTAAACCAGACAGAGACCCAGGAAAAAAAGATAACTACAGGCCAATATCCCTGATGAATATGGATGCAAAAATTCTCAATAAGATACTAGCAAATCGAATTCAACGGCATATAAAAAGAATTATTCACCATGATCAAGTGGGATTCATTCCTGGGATGCAGGGCTGGTTCAACATTCGCAAATCAATCAACGTGATACATCACATTAACAAAAAAAAAAAAAGAGAAAAACCATATGATCCTGTCAATCGATGCAGAAAAGGCCTTTGACAAAATCCAGCACCCTTTCTTAATCAAAACCCTTGAGAAAGTCGGGATAGAAGGAACATACTTAAAGATCATAAAAGCCATTTCTGAAAAGCCCACAACTAACATCATCCTCAACGGGGAAAAACTGAGAGCTTTTTCCCTGAGATCAGGAACACGACAGGGATGCCCACTCTCACCGCTGTTGTTTAACATAGTGCTGGAAGTTCTAGCATCAGCAATCAGACAACAAAAGGAAATCAAAGGCATCCAAATTGGCAAAGATGAAGTTAAGCTTTCGCTTTTTGCAGATGACATGATATTATACATGGAAAATCCGATAGACTCCACCAAAAGTCTGCTAGAACTGATACATGAATTCAGCAAAGTTGCAGGATACAAAATCAATGTACAGAAATCAGTTGCATTCTTATACACTAACAATGAAGCAACAGAAAGACAAATAAAGAAACTGATCCCGTTCACAATTACA